TAGTTAATTTCATTGTCAACAACATGCTTGGTAGCAACTAAAATGTCAGTCAGAACTCCAGAACATCTACACCAACCAATGGCTCAGAGGAAGGCATCATTTGAGTGGCAGCCTCAGGGTTGCAGGAATTGTAAAATGGAATTTTTTTTTTAAGTCATTAAAAGTCCTCTTATGGGTGGACTAAAGTCCTCATGATATCCAAGCTACAGAAAGAGAACTCACTGACTTTCAGATGAATGGCTAAAAAATGAGTAATCATAAAAGAGTACCTAATAAATAGCATTGCTCTTTAACTATACCCTCATGTGATAAGTCTGATTAATCTCCTCTCTACTTTGTATTTGATAGTTGGAACGCTTCCTTGATTCCTTATATTAATATATCTAGCAATACAATAGGGAAGAAGTCAATCACAAGTTTCGAGATGGAGGACTATATTAGTTATCTATCACTGTATAATTACCCCAGAACTTAGTAGCTTAAAATAACATTATCTTATAGCTTCCATAGGTCAGGAATCCAGGCTTGGCTTAGCTGGTTCCTCTGCTTTAGGGTTGTAATCAAGGTGTTAGCTGGACCTGCAGTCCATCTCAGAGGAGGCTGTCCTCACTTGCCATGTGGTTCTCTTCATAACACAATTCAAACCATGGCAGCTAGCTCCATCTGAGCAAGCAAGCAAGCAAAAGGGTGCAAAAGAGAGAGTGCCAGATAGATGGAAGTCACAATCTTTGGTAACCTAGTCTTGGAAGAGACATCCCATCACTTTTGCCAATTCTATTCATTATCAGTAAGTTGCTAAATCCAGTTCAGACTCAACAAGGAGTTTACACAAGGGTATGGGTATCAGGAGACTGCGATCAATTGAGAGCCATTTGGGAAGCTCCCTATCACATGAACTAAATCTTTGACTTAGTTCTTATTACCAGACAATTTAGAGACAATAAGATCCATACCTAATTCACAGCACCTGGTATACAGTGGACAATCCAAAACTTTTTATATTAAATGATTGAAATAATTTTTCTTTTAGTGCCCATACTTAAGTAAGCATTATTCTTTTTTTTTTTTTTGAGACAGAGTCTCACTTTCTTGCCCAGGCTAGAGTGAGTGCCGTGGCGTCAGCCTGGCTCACAGCAACCTCAATCTCCTGGGCTCAGCGATCCTACTGCCTCAGCCTCCCTAGTAGCTGGGACTACAGGCATGCGCCACCATGCCCGGCTAATTTTTTTTGTATATATATTTTTAGTTAGTCAATTAATTTCTTTCTATATTTTGGTAGAGACGGGGTCTTGCTCAGGCTGGTTTTGAACTCCTGGCCTCGAGCAATCCGCCCGCCTCGGCCTCCCAGAGTGCTAGGATTACAGGCGTGAGCCACCGCGCCCGGCCAAGTAAGCATTATTCTAATTTCAGCCACCTTTATGACAGCTTCTTAAATTGTCCACATACTGTTGAATTTGATCTTCCTCTGAAGAAAGAAGGGAAAATATAAAGAACTAGGTAAGTTTGAATTTGTTCTGTTATGAAAGTAAGGAAATTCTTTAGCATTTGGCTAAAATGCTCCAAGCTTTATCTCACATGTAAGATGGAGTCTCATTATCTTACCTTATCTACCATTATCTGACTGTGAAACCATAAAGTAGTCAAAACTTTCCCTTTTTTCACAAAATTTATACATCTCAAAAATATTTTGAGTAGGGAATCATTTTGAGATGTAAGCACCCTATCAAATTTCACTATAAAGGGGTTAATTTCTGCCAGGACAGTCGCAGAGGCCTGAATACGTTCCAAAATAGCTCAAGAGTTCTGGCCTTGTCCTAATATTCCTAATTTTCCTAATGTCCTAATTTTCCTGTTTTAGTAATATTCCCAGGGCCATTCTTAGGGTTTAAGTCATTTTAGTTGGGTATGTGAGGTTATCCCTCAAGTATAGAGCAAACATAAACAAATCTATTATTCATAAAATCCTCCCTTACTCCAGTATGGGATTTAATCTAGATTATCTCAACTAAAAAGTGAAGATGAATTAAATATCTAGGAGTATATCTAACAAGAGATACGAAAGATTTATATAAGGAGAACTATGAAACACTAAAAAAAGAAACTGCAGATGATTTAAACAGATGGAAAAATCTACCATGCTCATGGCTAGGAAGAATAAATATTGTTAAAATGTCAATATTACCTAAGGTGATCTACAGAATCAATGCAATTCCCATCAAAATACCACCAGCATTGATTTGTGGGGGGAGGGAGGGAATGGGCATTTATTGAAACCTTAAAATCTGTACCCCCATAATATGCTGAAATAAAAAAAAAATACCACCAGCATTCTTTACAGATCTAGAAAAAATAATCCTTCCCTTTGTATGGAACCAGAGAAAACCATGCATAGCCAAAGCAATCTTAAGTAAGGAGAACAAACTGGGAGGGATCAGTCTTCCTGACTTTAAGCTGTACTATAAGGCAATAATAGTAAAATCTGCCTGGTACTGGCACAAGAACAGAAACATCGATATCTGGAATAGATCTGAGATTCCAGAGATCAAACCATCTGTATACAGTAACCTAATCTTTGATAAAGCAGACAAAAATATACTATGGGGAAAAGATTCTCTCTTCAATAAATGGTGCTGGGAAATCTGGTTAGCAATATGCAGAAGAGCAAATCAGGACCCCAACCTCTCACCCCTCACAAAAATTCACTCAAGATGGATAACAGACCTAAACCTAAGACATGAAACTATAAGAATTCTAGAAGAAGATGTTGGGAAAACCCTATCAGATATTGGTCTAGGCAAAGAATTTATGAGGAAGACCCCCAAGGCAATCACTGCCACAGCTAAAATAAACAAATGGGATGTGATCAAATTAAAAAGTTTCTGCACTGCCAAGGAAACGATCATTAGAGCAAATAGACAACCCACAGAATGGGAGAAAATATTTGCTCTCTACATTTCCGATAAAGGTCTAATAACAAGAATCTATCTAGAACTTAAAAGAATAAACAAGAAAAAATCAAACAACCTCATCAAGAAATGGGCAATGGAAATGAACAGAAACTTCTCCAAAGAAGACAGAATAATGGCATGCAAACATTTTAAAAAAAATGCTCAACATCTCTAATCATTAGAGAAATGCAAATCAAAACCACAGTGAGATACCACCTAACCCCAGTGAGAATGGCCTGTATCAAGAAATCCCAAAACAACAAATGCTGGCGAGGATGCGGAGACAGGAGCACTCTTACACTGCTGATGGGACTGCAAATTAGTGCAACCCTTATGGGAAAGAATTTGGAGATAACTCAAACAACTAGAAATAGAAATACCATTTGACCCAGCAATAGCATTGTTGGGCATCTATCCAAAAGAACATAAGTCACTCTATTATAAAGACATCTGCACCCGAATGTTTATAGCAGCACAATTCACTATTGCACGGTCATGGAAACTACCCAAGTGCCTGTCAATTCATGAATGGATATCTAAAATGTGGTATATACTCACAATGGAATATTACTCAATCCTAAGAAACGATAGTGAACTAGCACTGTTTATGCTATAGTGGATTAAGCTTAAGCCTGTAATGCAAAGCAAGACGACACAAGACCTGGAAAATGGTCTACACATCTCGCCACCAAATCAGTACTGACAGCCTAAAATTATGGTGTTCAAATAATTGTAGTGTTCAACAGGGTTCGAGGGGGGGGAAACCCACATCTTAAGGATGTGATGAGCATTGTAGGGGGGAAAGGATTACCTCTATTCCTTTTTAGGGAGAGGCAAAGAAACACACTGTAACCAAAATGTCTAAAAAAAAAAATTTTGTTAATGGAAGGTGAACAGGTGGAAGGGGGGAGAAGGGGAAGGGTACGCACTTTCATGGTGGGTGCAGGGCGCACCACTTGAAGACTGGACACGCTTGAAGCTCTGGCAGAACAGGGTGGGGAGGGGAGGCAGGGGCAAGATATGTAACCCTAACAATATTTGTACCCACAGAATTTGGGGGGAAAATAAATAAATAAATAAAAATTTTTTTAAAAAGTGAAGATGATTATGTTTCAAATGGAAAATAAAATAGCATGATAAAACATCCCTCTCTTTTTTACCCTCAAAATTAGGCTACAGTCTGATAGGAGTGATATGGTCATTGTGAGAATAAATACTGTTAAAAGACAGAGCATTGCCATTTTACTGTTAAACAGTTCAAACATCTGTAGAAATCTTCTCATGAAGCAAACTTTTTTTTTTTTTTTTTTGAGACAGAGACTTACTCTCTTGCCTGGGAGTGAGCGCCGTGGCATCAGCCTAGCTCACAGCAACCTCAAACTCCTGGGCTCAAGCAATCCTCCTGCCTCAGCCTCCTAAGTAGCTAGGACTACAGGTATGCGCCACCATGCCCTACTAATTTTTTCTATATATATATTAGTTGGCCAATTAATTTCTTTCTATTTATAATAGAGACGAGGTCTCGCTCTTGCTCAGGCTGGTTTTGAACTCCTGACCTTGAGCAAGCCGCCCACCACAGCCTCCCAGAGTGCTAGGATTACAGGCATGAGCACCTGGCCTGAAGCAAACTTTTTAAAATGTACTGAACCACACTCAAAATCAAAAGGCAAATAACAAATGGGAGAATCCACGCAACATATATGACAAAGATTAATTTCCTTTGTATATAAAGAGCGCCTAAAAATCAATCAATTTTAAAAATCCAGTAGAAAAATAAGTAAAAGGATATGGATAGACAATATACAGAAAGGAAAAGACAAATAGATTATAAACATATGAAACGACACTCAATGCTTCCCATAAAAGAAATGAACCTTAAAAATACAGTGAGATATGACTTGCAACTTGTCAGATTGACAGGAATCCAAAAAGTTTGGTGACACTTTATCAGAGAATAGTAACTTATAGGGTCAACTTACCGGGAGATATCATGGTAAAAATGCTATTTTGAATTTCTTTCTTTACAACTGTAAGAAGAAAATTAACAAATAATGTAGTTGCCAGTTTTATTTAATACTTTACATACTTGAATAGCTGATTGAAAGCAAATGTTCATCATTTGTTTAGAGTTGCACAAAAGGATATATAGAGAAAGTAATGGCTTGTTTGCCAAATTAATTTGGATGTGGGGCCAACTTCATCAAACCTAAAAAAATTCTGTCTTTGGAACTTGAGGTTTTAAAAATAGCAGTTCGAATTAATACTGTTTTTGGATTCATGGTTCAAATTAGTCATGTTTTCTTGATGCTGTAAATTTATCCACATATTGGTAGAAACATGTAACTTCTCACATAGATGAGAGAAATTCGTGCATATAAAGTAAAATTAAAATGAATACATTCAGTATTAAATTACTGAACTGTGTAATAAACACAAATTTGTTAACAACTTTCCAGAAGGAACAAAACAACAGTATTAATAAAGAGAGGTCTTTTGCATCATTCTCAAGAATTCTTCCTCATTTATTTCTCCATCCCCATCACGATCAGCTTCATCAAGCATTTCCTGTAAAACAAAATATAAATATGATACATGAAATGTATTTAAAATAATGACATAAATGAATATTCAAGTACATACTCAAAATCAAATTTTGTTTTAAGTATATTAGTATAACTAAAGTTAGACTATAATTATAATCATAATATATAAATTTATAATTATATATAATTATAAAAATAAGTAAAATTTACCTGAAGTTCACCATCTGTTAAATTTTCCCCTAGTTCCTTAGCAACCCTCTTGATATTGTTTAGTGTTATGCCTCCAGTATCATCATCATCAAATAATTTGAAAGCCTTCAATATTTCTTCTTTTTCATCTTTTTCACTCTTTAAAAAAGGAAACAACTATGATTAGTCCTTCATTTATTTATTCTATCAAGCTGTACTTTTTAGATCTTTGAGGTCTACAGCAACGATGTGTCAGGTAGCTGAGTTCTGACTTTATTTATTGCTCTGACTTTTAACAATTATTCCAGTGTTCTCACATCTGTCCTTAAGGTATTTAAACACAGGGTTCATTGAAGTGAAAGAGGCACAGGTGGTAAAGAGGATGCGTCTCTTATTAATTATAATAATCCAGAACCATTACCCAAACTGTAAGCTTCAAGAGAACAAGAAGGTTGTCTCATTCAATACTCCTTGGAACAGTAATACACCTTGCAAAAATAGGTGCTCTGTGTATGTTTGCTGAATTCAAGGCTTCAAAATTCTATCCTACCATATAGCCTCATTTCCTGACAAAAACCTCTTCTCCACATCAGTCTTTTCACTACCACCCTGAAAACATCTTGCTTTTCCTATCTAAATCCTACTCATCCTTATTAAAAACCCAGTTCCAATTCTTCCTCTATGAAACCTCTGATTGCTGCAGCCCCAAGAGGTAGAAAGCTATATTGCTGTACTTCTTTGAAAAATAAAATCACAATTATACCATTTTTACACTCATAATGGCAAAAAAATCTTCAAAACTAATGGTGCCAATTCCTTCTTTGTCAATTTCAGCTATCAGTTTTTTAATTTCTTCTTTCTTTGGTAAAAATCCTAAGGCCTGCATTGCAATCTGAAATAGAAAGGAAATAAATTATAATATGCCATGATCTTATTCCAAGCTTTTAAATTATCAATTACTAGCTTCTCTCTTTTTTACAATGGAGTGGGCATAAACATGGAAAATCAGGTTAGCAGGCCTAGATTCTAATCCTACTGTGCCATAGAATATATCAGTGTTACACCCTGGGCTATGGTCTACTCATTTATAAAACACAATTAAAATGCTTAACATGATATTGTTTTGTTAATGCTGGGCAGTGCATAAACAAAATGTTGTTTTGTTTATGCACTGAAGAGACTTTATAATAAGCTTTCAGAAGACTACAGTTAAAGAAAAGTCTAAAGATTGCCACAAATAAATGGTTTTTTAAATGTTTTAGAATTAGATATAATTTCAGAACCTTCAATTCTTTCACATTTATGGTTCCAGACCCATCAACATCAAATAAATCAAAGGCCTCTTTAATTTCTTGTTTTTGAGTTTCATTCAGTTCAATTTTTGCTGTTCTTTTCTTCCATTGCTCTGAATTTAAGCATTGGTTGGATGCCTGTAATAAAGACACATGTGGGTTAATGATAAACTATATATAACTGGAAACTTTAGCAGAACCAGAATAACTGATGATAAACTAAGTAAATTTAATAAATAAACACATTAAAGTATCCATTTTCTACTATATAATGAACCTAAATAATTTTCCCCTTTTCCCTTTGCCAACATTTGTGTTTGGTTATTAATGTTTTGATGGAGAGCCTAGTTTTCTTTTTTTACTAAATTTTTCTTTAAAATTAGTGTCTTTGAGAGGGAAAAGAGGCAAAGGAAGGCATGCTAGACCAGTGAATGGTGTTATGTCAGAATGCAATTAGCCTTACGTGGTACGTCTAAAAAGCAGTCGTTTAAGGAACGTTTACTTTCATAAATACCTATATGTCTCATAATAAAATTTGTTTACTTTGTGGGATATGCTTGATTAGAACACAGTATTCTTTTCCGCCTTCTAGCACGCCGTCCTGTACTCCTGAGGCTGAGAAGTGGAAAACTACTCCAGGGATCTGGAGTTTCTCCCCGGGTTCTACTGCAGCTTTATGTCGGCCTCTTGTCTTCAGCTTTGGGCTAAGCAGCAGTGGTGGGAGGCAGCAACTGGGCTCCTTGTTCCTGTGGATCTGAACGTGGGCTGCGTGTGGATTCTTGATCCGTGGGCCGCACGTACACCGGTACGCTCTGAGCTCCATAGCTCCAGGGCAGCCTCTGAGCCCTCACCTCCCCGGCAGGGCAGAGGGAGCGGCCGCCGGCCAGCCGGCGTCTCGGAGCCCGCCTGCAGTCCGCTCCCCGCCTCCAACAGCTCTGAGGCATCTGGCTCTCAGCGCTCAGTCCCTTTTGGCTGAAGAGCGGTTTCTACTCCCAACACTGAACCTATCGCAGACTGCTGGCATTAGCGGTAGATGGGGTCGATGAGGGGGAAAAATGAACTGCAGAGCCCTCTTCTGTCCCTACAGTCACGGACAAGGCGCTCGTATTTGGTGACACGAGGAAGGGTTACTAATGACACCCGAGGATCACGGAAAGGAAGCTAATAATACATCTGATTAACTAAACAAAATCTCCTCTTTGCTGTGGGGAAACACTTCACAGAAGATTACAACTTGACACTCACCATGTACCCAACCGGCTCCCTCAAGCCGGGACCTCCCGGCCGCACCCACAGGCCCACAGCGCCGCGCCGCCCAACCGTAGACAACACAGCTAGCCAGGGGGTTGCTAAGGCCGCGCTCACGGACCTCTTGCAGTCCCGCCCACCCAAGCCCTGAATGATTGACAGCCACTCCACCCAATGGAAAGGAAAAGGCCCTTAAGGCCAGCCCCCTCTCTCTACTGTCTACCAATAGAGTGGTGTTCCTGCCTTTCCCAGCCCACCGGTAAGCGGAACTTTCCTCGCTAGCTGCGTTTCTTAGCGACCAGGCCTCCGGCTCCACAAGGGCTGCACCCTTCACACATGCGCAAACTGCGGACGGGAGCTAGAGGGCGCCTTTGCCCTGGCGTTTTGGCGTCAGTGCCCCAGCTGGAGCTGCGTGTGGCGGCAAGAGAACACGGGAACTCTAGACCCCGTGGGAGTGGAGAAAGGAGTGAGGTTAGTAGTGAGGTGCTTCCACTGACTGCTAAGTCTTTGGTGAAGATGCGGGGAACTCTTGTTTGCTTTTCTGACCCCGTTGGGCCTGGGAAAGGATGAGATTTTGGGATCTGGTGGGCCTGGGGTGAATTGGTCTAGCATCGGGCTGGGAGCTTGGCCGTTAGCCGTTTCCCTCCTCCCTGGTTCGGGCAGGGTTTCTGGCCTGGTAGGCACCAAAATTTCTGTATAGAAGGGGCATGGCGCAGCGGAGTGGTTGGAGGGAAGTGGGTATGGGGTAGGATGCGTCTTGGGATGCACCTGAAGCTTCACTGCATAGGAAAGTTTTTATTAATGCATATGTAGTATGTAGTGTTTGTTTGCAGGGTAGGACTTTGGCCCCGCGCGTAGTCACTATCGGACACCTCCACACACACAGGCTCCCAACCATTCCCTTGGCCGAAGAATCCTAAGATTTGGCCAGTTGTCCGACCTTATAAAGCTTAAATATGCACTCTTGAGTCAGACACAGGTAGCCTGATGAGCCATTTAACTCAGTAATGGTCTACTAGAGTAAACTTAGATGCCTGTGTAACTGCTGTAAACCAAATCAAACTCTTATCCAGAGGGCCAGACTTGCTGGTTCTGCCCCCTCTGAACCTGGCCAGGGATCAGCTTAAAGGATGGGGAAGGACTGAGGTAGGGTGGACTACTGACTTCCTGATCAGAATGAAGAGCTAATAGTCTCTTAAAACTTCTAACCTTTAATTGCTCAGACAACGGACCACTTTTATGCCTCCTGCAGTGTCTTCTCTAAAGTAAATATTTTCTAAAAATCATACTGGATTCCTCAGTGGATTCAGGAAGAATATTAACTCTTGTCTAGCCTTTTTCCTCCTTGAAGATAGGGCAAGAAAAAATGGGCAAAGTACATTCTTGAAGCAGTCTCCCAAATCACTTTTCATGCTTTATAGTAAGTAGGAACATGGCACATTTTCCAAAGTTATCTGCCTGTCTTGTTCATGTTATATCCCAGGCAGACACTCAAGCATTGTAATCACTGAAAAAAATCTCGTAAGGCTTCTGGAAAATAGGTAAGGTTATCCTAGTGTTCGAAGGGATTTTTCTGTATAAAGTTACCCCAGTGGAAACTGATGCAAATTCAAGGTATTTTATGAATTAAGTAAAATGTTAAGTCACTTATCTATAATATGTCGATTTTGCAGGCCATTTATCCCACATGGAAAGTTGCTCTTGAGCAGTTTCAAGCTCATATACTTCATCTTTAATACTAATATTAAAGGCATTTCTGAGACCCAGAAATTATTAAGGACGAAGTATATAACCAACCTAATCCTAATTTTTGGGATCTCCTGGATCAAGTTTGATCTAATGGCAATTAAAAGGCTGAATAATATATTAACCTGTTTTTACGTTACTCTATGATTTAGGCTCTTGTATTTGGGATATTTACTTCTAGTTAAAATGTTTTTTTATTTTATTTTTTTAACAAATATTTACAGTCAGGCATAAAATGGTTTTTAATGATAGGCTCAGATTTCAATTTCCATTTTGGGTAAAATGTACTTATTCTTGAAACGTAGCTGTTACTAATCTAATTACACTTTAGAACATTAATAATAATCATCTAGGAAAAACATTAAACCCATAGATACGCTTAAATCTACCAAGTTTATTCAGTGCTTTCTACATGTCATGCACTATGTGAACTACTAGGTGAGTTTGAAAGGAATTGAGTATAGAGTATAAAAGATACATAAAACCAAGGAATCCTCAGATTATTGGGGGAGATATACAAACATAAATACAGTGTTTTACTACATAGTGCTAAGCTTTGGTAGATATGTGTAGAAAGTGCTTTAGGGACACAGAAAGGAGGGACTACTCCACCTTGGGGCATTGGAGAAAGCAGAATCAAAAACATGGCATTTGCCTTGGGTTATGAAAGATATATTGTATTCATGGAGATGAAGAAAAGGTAGGATATTCAAATCAGAATATAGCTGGTAAAAATAAATCATATGTTCCAGTATAGCAAGATCATGGGGTTTATAAGAAAAAGTTGAAGATGAGTCTTACAAATTAGGTTGAAATTAGATTATAAGATACATATGTCAAGCTAAGGAGTAAAGACTTTGTTTTCTAAAATAAATAAGCCTGGCACAGTTGCACGCACCCGTAGTCCCAGCTACTTGGGAGGCTGAAGCAGAAAGATCACTTGAGCCCAGGAGTTCCAGGCCAGCCTGGGCAACACAGTGAGATCCCACCTCAAAAAAAAAATGTTTTTTGCAAGTGGAGTCATCTGTTTAGGTTTGTGCTTTTTGAGAAATAATTCTTACAGCCATGTAAAGGAGGAACACTCTTTGGAAGCAGTTAAAGAGTCTCAACCAAGAGAGTGCCAAATGAGAATCATGGCAACTCCAAAGGTCGTTGAACCTTACATTCATGTTGAAGAAATACTAACGGTGGCATCTGTTTTATCTTGTTTCAGTTTTTTACTTAAATTTGGGATGACAAATACATTGAAAACCATTCATTCATTCATTCACTTACCAAATAATTATTGAGTGCCTGCAATGTGTCAGGCAATATTCTGGGTGCCTGGGTTACCTCAATGACTAATACTGCCCTCCTGGAAATTACATTCCAACAGAGAGAGATAGTCTATAAATAATAAATAAATAAGTAAGCTATGTATTAATACTATGTTATCAGGTGATAAGTGTTACAGAAAAAAAGAGAGTAGAGCAGATAAAGAGAATATACAGTGTAGAGAGAAAAGAGGAATTTGGGGGGTGTTCAGGATAGGCCTCATTGAAAGAGAAGAAACTTAAGAAAATATTTGAAGGTGATAAGGTAATAGATTTCTTGGAGAAGAGCATTCCAGAAAAAGGGAACAACTAGGGCAGAAACACTAAGGTAAGGAGCATACCTTGCATGTTCCAGAAGTAGAAAGGAGGCCAAACCAAAGTGGTCAAGGATTAGAATAGTAGGAGATAAAATCGGAAGGGTAAAGGGAGGAGTGCAAATTATTAGGGTGTTGTAAGGAGTTTGACTTTCACTCTGAGTGAAATGGGAAGGCTTTGCAAGATTTTGAGCACAAAGTGAAAGGATCTGCCAACGCTTAAAAAGTTTCCGATTCTGGATTTTTGGATTTAGGATGCTCAAACTGTAGTTGTGTTGTGGCCTGCTATTGACCTTAAAATATATGTATGTATTGAACTGTGGTGCTCTTTGGCTTTAAGGATGAATTCAGATGTTACAGAAACAAACTTACCAGTGCTGTGGTCAGTATTAGAAGAAAAGCAAAAATCTGAGTTGTTTGCTTTTTGAAACTCGAGATTTAGAAGATTATGATTTAAAAAAATATTATCCAAAGAGTCATAAAGTTTAAGAGTTGGAAGTGAAGATTATAATATGGATTATCTATAATCTTAGCTCCAGCACTTTAACAGGGAGCTCACACCTTACAAGGCAGGTAATTTTATTATAGATAGCATTTCAATTAGGGAGTACCTTGTTTGAGAGTTCTTTTTATTGGGCTAACGTCTTTCTCTTGTAACTTTCTATTTGTTTTTTATGTGAATTCTGAAATATTATGCAGAATAAGTCCAGTTGCTCTTGAACCTCCCTTTAAATAGTTCTGTTTGATTTTTTAAATAATCTATTCAATAGCCAAATTCATCCCTTCCCCTCGATTTCTCTTCCACATTTCTCACCTAGATAACTATAGAAGATTCTTAACCGGCCTCTCTACTTCCAGTCTGGCACTCATCTAGTCGGTCCTCGCCAGTGTTATCAGAGTAGTAATATATCTAAAACAGCATTATTACTATCTTTATTATTATAAAACAAGCACTTGTAAAACATCGTGCACTGTTTTAAGCACTGTGCTCACTTCTTGTTATACTCTATGAAATAGATACTATTATTATTCCCACTTTTCAGATGTGGAACTGAGAGGCAGAGTAGGTAAATAACTTGCTGAAGGCTACACAGCTAGTAAGCAGTAGAGCTAAGGTCAAACCCAGACTTCTACATTCAGGAATACCTGCTTTTAAACATTATATATATATAAAAAAAACATTATATCCAGTTGTTTCTTAATGTTCCTTACTTAAAACACTTCAGTCCTTCCCATTACAGGATCAAGTTTAAGTTCCTTAGCATAGCCCATAATGCTCTTTATGATCCAACTCTTTTCCTCCTCTTCCTACTATTCTCCACTACATATTTTTCCCTGTAAAACCAAACTACTTATCTTATTCCCAATACACCGTGTTTTTTCCCATATATGTACATTTACTACCACCTCTTTCAACTTGTTTACTCTTTCCAGTTATTCTCCAAAACTCATTCCAGAAATTGCCTGCTTCTGGAAGCATTGCCTGTTGTCTTCATGCTCCATTTCCCCTGTTGGAGTGCTTCTCTTCCATGCACACCTACCTTTGTCATTAATATTATTATAATACTGTATGATTGCACTGACCACATTTAATGGAAATTATATATACCTCAAAGGTAAGGACATATCTTATTTTTCTATCTATATAGAATGTTTAACCATGAATTACACTGAATAAAGTTCCAAGTTTTTATTCTATTTGCAGCTGATGATTCATGGTGATGGCCTGCAGGATCATAAACAAAAGACGGCACATTGGACTTCAACAACTTTCATCATTTGCAGAAACAGGAAGAACTTTCC